ATCAGGACACATCTTTAAGTCATAGCATTAAATCACCCACCAGGTTGGCTGGAGAGCACCCCAAGCCTTCTGAACACTGCCTGGGAGACCTTTCCAAAAAGTTTGCTCATGTCTAATAGAAAGAGGAAATACCAGTTTCTTCTGCATATTACCATTGTTAGGACATGGATCGTGATCTCCCTTTAACGACAAAGAGACTCCAGAGACTGCAAACAGCAAGCAAGGTTTATTGTAAGACTGGCTAGCCAGTCTTGAGCCGCCTACACAGACACGCAGGTCTGGCAGGATGGGCAAGACTCCGAACTTCTTCAAAGGGGATCTTATATAGGCCTTCACTGGCCGTTACAGCAGAACCCACGCATTTCATGGCCAATAGATTTGTAACAACATACTTTCTTAACCAATCCATTTAAAAGTACATCACTCCTTAGCCTATAGATTCAAAGATCAGCATTTACGTACGGGCATTGTGGCTAGTGGGTATCTCATAACTCAAACATCTGGTTATCTTCCGTGTCTACCTGGCTCCCCATGATTTACAGCTCAGGACACCTGCATTCTGGGGGGAGGCGGGTAAGGGAAGAGTTACTAGCAGAGGGGCAGATAAGGAAGAGTCAACAGTGGAGGCAAGATTTACATCCCAATTAAGAAGAGTCAACAGTGGAGACAGAATTTACATCTCAGGACTCTACTAGGGAGGGGACAGGATTTACATCTCAAGGCTTTACTAGGGAGGGGGCAGGAAAGGAAGAACTACTAAATTAGCAGAGTTTAGCTCTGGAATTTCCCTCATGGTCCCACCGGACCTTACATGTCCATTGAACAGAGCAGGTTTTCAGTGTTGTGTGTGCTGATCATTAGTGTCACTTTGGTCTATTTCCAGGCTCCTTGTCGCTCTCACTGTAAGAGAACAGTTTTAAAAGAAACCTCTACTGGGGCTGGAGCCATAGCACAGCGGGTAGAGCGTTTGCCTTGCACGCGGCCAACCTGAGTTCAATTCCCAGTATCCCATATGGTCCCCTGAGCACCGCCAGGAGGAAATTGAGTGCAGAGCCAGGAGTAACCCCTGTGCATCCCTGGGTGTGACCCAAAAAAAAAGCCATTACTTAGAGCTTATTGCTGGATCCATGACCCTAATTTAGAAGGATGCACATAGGTGGTATCAGTATCAGCCACTCGTCTTAGAGTGAGGTGGTGGTAATAAAGCAACTACAACAGAGGAAGATATGTGTGTCCAGGCAGTGCCAGTAGTCCTGGATGTCCGCAACACACTTCTTCACCATTGGAGAGAATTGTTGGTCTCAAAGCAAGCCTAAGAGGAATGCCTCCATAAATGGGCACTTGACATAAGTTCACCAAAGTGGTTCTGGCTTCTTGGGTCTTGATGACTTTTTGATGAATTGTCAAATATATTTTTATGCTTCTTATGTCCCTTATCTTAATTATGAAATCCATTTGTAAATGCAGCAAAGATACTGTGCTTTTCTTCTTAGATAAGGAAACCCACTTAAAGGCATTAGGCATTTTTCCAAAGACCACTAAAGTGATGAGCAAGAATCCCAAGAAACCACAATCCTAAGAGTTAAAATGCCATCTTAGTGTTGTCATCAGTTACTGAAGGTGGTGGCAGTGGTGGCATTAGTCATTGTAGTAGTAGTAATAGCAGTGGTGGTGGTGGCGGAAGGAGTTGTAGTGTGAGGCCGTGATTATGTACCTACCCAGTAGTCTTCTGTAGAAGCTCAGAGAATACAGATTTATAGATATAAGGAACCCAGTATAGGGACTAGAGCCATAGCACAGCGGGTAGGGTGTTTGCCTTGCACACAGCAAACCCGGGTTCAATTCCCAGCATCCCATAAGGTCTCCTGCAAAAAACTAAACACGCTGAAGGTTGTGTGTTCACGGGCTCTCTGGACGGCTCTGTCTCACCGCCTGCATTCCGTGCTCTGCTCCTGTGTGTGTGTGGCCTGGATCAGGATGGCTGTTGCCCAAGGGCAGACGAAGGAAGAGACAGGGCCAGGCTGGTTGATCTTAGTAGCAGTTTATTCCAATCCTCTCTTCATTCACTCCAGTCTCTCCTCAGCCTCTCCCCAGCTCTCTTGCCTCTCCAACTCTCTTGTCCTCCAACTCCCTTGCCTCTGGACTAAAACTGCACCCAGTCAGGTAACAAAATCAACATAAGCAAGCCCTTCCTGAGGGCCCACCTAAAAGGTATTCCAAAGCCCTTCGTGACTGCCCAAGGGCAAAATACCTCCCAAGGTGTTTTTCTCCTTTCCTCAGTTTAATAACTATCAACATCTCAATACTAGCTATTTTTGTATGGACACATTAAGAGATAACATTGAGACTTGTAGGGCAGTTCTCCTGGGAACATCTTGCCACAGACTCAGACTACAGTGCTCAGGCCAGATTAATCATTCCTAACCCTAGCAGGATCCAAATCTAGTTATTACATTTGGATCATGACAGCATTTGTCCATGACCAAGCTCTTAATTTATAGTTAAGCATTATGAAGCTTTGGCCCGGTCCATCTCAGTGCCAGGGTAGCACACTTACTGCTTGCCCTGGTTCCATCCAGTCCCTCATCAGGACCCTGATTTGGGGGGGGGGGGGCCTAGGAAGTAAAGGCAGCTGAGGCTTTGGTGAGAGAACAGATGCCCAGGAGGGAAATATCACTGAGAGTCACATTACAAAAGCATAGCATATACTGTCTTCTTGTGTCCATACCAAAAGGACATTGCTCTGAATAAACTATGCAAAGGACTTAGGGAGAAGAGAAAAACAATATTTACAAGTCAACAGAGCACAAAGAAAGAAACTACAAATAAACAGAGAGGAGTGGGAGCACTGTGGTGGGAGCAACCCAATAAACCTAAACTACCTGAGGCTATGCTGGAAAGTCAAAACAGTGTTATCCAACGTAAGGGGTAATTACCGCCAGGGGTAATTCCTGAGTGCATGAGCCAGGAGTAATCCCTGTGCATCACCAGGTATGACCCAAAAAGCAAAAAAAAAGAAAAAAGGAGCCCAGTAACTCCCAAATGGCAGCTATGAAGACATTTTTTTGTGTCTTGACACTTATTTTCTTTTTTAATTAGTTACTTAGTGCGTTGTTGGATACCCCTGCATTGCTCATCTCTGTGCTTGTGGAGGGGAGGTGGGGGGAGCCACTTCCTGCAGAAGTTCTCAGAAGACCATGTGGTATGAAGGACCAAGTCTCCATCCTCCAGCACACAGAGCATGCGTGGCCATTGTGCTCTCTCTCTCTCTCTCTCTCTCTCTCTCTCTCTCTCTCTCTCTCTCACCCTTGATGCTTAAACTTTTAAAACTCTTATAACTTGTGCAGAATTCTAAGCATTTTTATCTTCAGCAGAACCATCTTGAGCAACCTATCTCCTCTCTTCCATTTGTTTAAAATTATGAATTTTAATTCTATTTTTTTAAATTCCTTGACTCTGAGGACATGGTTGGTACATTTATTTAATGTCCTGTAACCCTGGGCATGGCCTATACATTAAGGGTATCGTCATGGCAACCTGCTGGCAGCAGGGGGTGCACAGTGAGCGCTGGTTGAGGACCCTCAGGGGGTTGTCTGGTAAGGCTGGTGGAAAGGACAAGAGAAATAAATGGATAGCTGAAGAGTTAGTTGTTTTCTTTAGCTTGGAGTTCTGCTGGAGAAGCATTGTCTCTATCTCATCTATCTCCCCATGCCCCCTCGTGCCCCGCCCCCCCATTGACCCAGCCCATTGACTCCCAAAATCTGATGTTCAAGCAGCTAAAACTTAACCAGAACAAAGTTTGAAAGGCTTTCTTTAAGAAGGATCTCATGTTAAGTGGAGTAAAGCCAGAAGGACAAGACCAATGCTGGCCGTTCTCACTGATCTGTCGTATTTAGGACAACCTGGGTCATAGGAGGTGTCAAAGGTGTGAAAAACATTGACTCTGCATTACAGAAACAAGATGCCAGAGAAGGAGAGCAATTCAGTAAGAAGAGGAGGCCTGGACATAGTGTTAGGGCAAGAGTCAGTGGCCCCAGGCTCTCTGTATTATAGAGATGAGATGTCTGCATGTGCCTGAACCACAAGACCCAATACTGCTCAAGGTGTGGGACCAGACTACAGCAGTTAAGTTTAAAACTGTATCTGTTGGGGCTGGAGCAATCACACAGCGGGTAGGACGTTTGTCTTGCACACAGCCGACCCAGGTTCGATTTCCAGCATCCCATATGGTCCCCTGAACACCGCCCGGTATAATTCCTGAGTGCAGAACCAGGAGTAACCCCTGTGCTTCGCAGGGTGTGACCCAGAAAGCAAAAAATAATAATAATAATAAAAATAAAACTCTATCTGTCAAAAGAGTGAGTTTGGGAAGTGGGAGGGAACATGGGGTGGTTGTGGAAGGATAGAGTCATGGGGTGGTGGAATGGGAAGTAGGAACATTGTATACCTGAAAATCTGTATAAATAGCTTTGTAAATCAGAGTCTAAATTTAAACAATTTTTTAAATGATGTCTGATGTTACCTCTGACAACAGATCTTTTAAAAGGTTGTAAGCATGCTGGTGCAGTAGTACATTGGGTATGGTATTTGTCTTGTGTGTGGCCGACCTAGGTTCCATTCCCAGCAGCCCCTAATAGTCCCATGAGCACCACTATGAGTGAGCCTGCCCTGAGCACAGAGCCAGGAGTGAGCCCGAAGCAGTGCCAGGTGTTGCACCTGCCCCCTTAGAGGCCTCGCAAGAAGAAGATGTGTAAGAGCCAAGACACTTTGCTAATGTGCTTCTCTTCTTCCGTTCACCCCATCCCTGTTTTCAGAATGGAGGGTATGATCTGTCCCTAAACTACTTAGTTCTCTATTGTCTTAAATGAATTTTTTTCATATTTTTTCCCATGATGACTGTTTTAAGTGCAAATAAGAAATAAGCCCCCACGAAGTCCATTTCAAAGGAGGAACTGCAGAGTCTTAAACCTTCAATGCTTGTGTTTGTTCCCTTTCTCCAGGATCAGAATCCAGGCCATAAATGAAATTGGAGCTGGACCGTTTAGTCAGTTCATTAAAGCAAAAACTCGGCCGTTACCGCCCTTGCCTCCTAGACTCGAATGTGCTGCCGCCGGGCCTCAGAGCCTGAAGTTGAGGTGGGGCGACGGCAACTCCAAGACACACGCTCTAGACGACGTGGTGTACACGCTCCAGCTGGAGGACAGGAACAAAAGGTACGCGGGGCAGGAGGCCTGTGGCTGATGTGGGCTGAAGCTCTGCCTGTGTATTCGCCCTTTGAAACATCCTTCATCTCTGTTGAAAAATCCGCTGCCTTTTCTCCATTCAGAATCTCTCCGCTTCCATTCTCAAGTTCCTGTTTGCTCTCCAGCAGATAATCTATGTGTTTGTTTTTGCTTTCCTAAAGCCAGACGATTCCACCAGAGAAACTGGTCGGATGCCCGTCCACAGCGTAATGATGTTTTATTAGTCACAAGCGTGGAGGGAAATCAGACTCAGAAAGAGACGTCTCCTCTTTAAATATTCAGTGACCATCAGGACAAAACATGTTTACCGATCTGAAATTGCTGTGGTGATGGAGGGGAAGGGATGGGACTCCAAATGTGGCTGATACAGTATCAAATTAACCAGAGCAAATAGGGGCTTCTTTATAAAACCCCACGTCTAGGAAACACGCTTAGCCGCAGAAATCAAATCCAGTCTTGCACATAGTATTTATTTAACTTAGCTTCATTTTCCCTGAAAATAACACATCTAAAGCTAGACAGTCGAATTATATTTAGGAATTGTTCATCTACACAAAAAGTAAAATTTTCTATTAGCACAAATAGAATATTTGTTCTATTTTCCCATGCCAGGCAGAGAAGATAGGCAATTACTGGAAAACCAAGAGAAGCTGGAGAAGCAAACACTTGCTGAAATACAAAGCAAGGGTTGATGTAGAAGTAGCCGCCATGTCCTCTTGGCGTGACATTGTCCCATGTCCATTTATTTTGGGAACTGGTTCTAGTTATCTTCCAAACCCCTGGGCAGCCTCTGTTTCTTCCCCCCCCCCCCCCCCCCATGTAATTCGGACTCTTTTGACCCATTTCATTGTGGCAGTCCTGCCGTGTGAAAGGTTCCGTGTGGGCTGGGCCCACAGTAGCCACCAAGATCCAGGAAATCCAAGTCCAAGTACCTCTCTCCAGGAGCACAAGCATCAATGCTAGTCAATCATCAAATATAAGCACCTTTGCTAAACAGGGCTCCAGGGGCAGGGTAGGAGTCATGCTTTGAGAGTTGGGAGGAAGCAGAAATTATTTGGTTGCACAAGTCAGGAATGACTTTTTGAAGCTGTGGATCCTGATTTGGAGGGACCTAGCAAATCTAACTATTTGGCTGCAAAAGTTGAGAGGGAGGGAGGGAGGGAGGAAGGAAGGAAGGAAGGAAGGAAGGAAGGAAGGAAGGAAGGAAGGAAGGATTGCTTTGTTGGAAACTAGCCCCAGTCTCAAAACCATGGAGTGGGGAAGACTTCTTTGGGCAGGTTCATTGCAGACTGAATTCGTGCTCACCCATGGACCAGACAGTTCTGCTCTGAGTACTTTGCCTTGTTTTCATGAGCTCATGATTTTACTGCCAGGGGTTTCCTCAACTGATTAGAACAGGAATTACAGACTTGGCAGAAATCACAAGAAAGCTAACGTTTGGAGAAGTTTGTAAGCAAGTCTTTGTTTTTGCTCCTGGTCGCTTAACTTCCAGTGGTGGTAGAAAGAGCCTTCCTTGGAGAATATCTTCAGGTTGTACTATTCCAGAAAAAGGGAAACCCAGAACTTTGTTGAAGCTAGTGGCAAACGTGGAATCAATGGCAGTGCCTCCTGACTTTCAGTTCAACTGTCTGCACTCTTGCTTTCAGAAACACGGGGACAGTTAGTCTCTGCCCCACACCAACCTTCCTCGTGTTGCAGTTATTCCCTGTGTCTGGATGGAGAACTGTACAGAGGCAGATTCTCAAGAGTGCCCTGAGCACTCATCCAAATGATTTAAATGTGCCAGACAGAAAATAGTACAGCCTAGTCATCAATATATGTTCTGTCCTAACAACACTAACCAAAAAAAACAAAAACAACCCAAGGCTGACCTTGTTGTTAATCACATAAATGCCTTGAATGCCTTGGCTAAATTTAAATGGCAATTTCAGAAAACTCACCATTAAGGACAGTATTTTTCTTGATTTTATGAGCTGGAGTCCAGATTTATCTTTCTTAAATTAAATTTGTCAGTGTCCTCAGAAACTTATTAAAGTGATGGGAATATAGAGCATAATACATTCTCATTCTCTTTGTAGATTGATATTTCTGGGATTTAATAGGATGAAACCTGACCTAATTTGAGTCTGAAGATGACCTTTCTTAGTAACTTAGAATTCTTGTGAGTTATTGACCCTTTGAGCCAAATCTTCAACTTTGGATCTTGACTCGTGAGAATCAGAGTCTTTGTCAATTCTAGTCTCTTTGAGTTTTTTTGGGTAGTTGCCCCTGATCTGCCCACTTGAACAGTGTCTTCCAGAGTAGTTACTGTCTTTCTTCATCTAATTTGTTACTAGTATAGATTTAAATTATGACTCTTGGAAAAGTTCACATAGCCATTAGCATAGACATTGAATCCAGTAACCACTAATAAATTCTTACGTACATTGCAAAAAAAATTGCTTTATATTATTTTGTTTTTTTTCAGTTGTTTGGGGGTTTTGTCCTGGGATTTAATCCAAAGCTCCATACTTGCAAAGAATGTACTCTATTACCAAACTGCCTCCCTAGCCAAAAACATTAAATACCTTGTTATTAAGGTGAGAAGTAGAGCTAGCAAGAAAAATTTTTTTAATTTCTTTTATTAGTTTATCTCTCTCTTTATTTCATTTGTGAAAACCCTACTCACCCATCACTGTGGGTATTTGAAATTTCCATGTAAATAGAAGGGGTCTCAAAAAGGCATGCAGCTCAAATCCTTGCTGCAAGGTAAATCAACCTAGAATTTCCCTGGATGACTTGGACTTGCCATGGTGGAAGTGTTTTCCTCCTTTATCAGGGCTTATATTTACCTTGTATTCAAGATTTTAACACTCTTGTTCCCAAAGCACTCCTTTACATTACAAGTCTGTTTCTACCTGGGACTTAAATTAAGAACATTCAATCAGCAGTTTCTTCATGAACCTGGTTTTAGCACTAGGTCTTCAGTCTTAGTTTTTTGTGAACTAAGTTTATGTGCTAGGTCTTAGAGGGATATTTGGCCTACCTCTAAGGAGCTTGTCTTTCTCTGGAAACAAATAACATGAAACACTGAGCAGACAGTGCAAAAAAATTATTGAATTTCAAGAGAAAAGCAAAAATTAGATTTGTTTGTCCATAGAGCAATCAAATCTATTCTTAACAGAAACTGTAAGAGTCTTTGGTTTCTGTGTATGCAAGAAAGTGCGTATACACACACACACACACACACACACACACACACTCACACACACACGTGTGTGTATACATATATATTATATACATACATATATATCCAAAGTAAACATTTAATAATGCTGCTTTAACCTAACACAGGGGTCAGAATAACAAGATCAGCACATGCATTTCAATACCGTGGTGCTATGTCAATGATTTTGAATATGGATTCGTCTGTGTTAATGAAACAAAATGTTGTGCTGTCCTAACAGAATTTCAGTTGATGGGGATTCTCATCCTGACCCTGGAGGTCCTGGTATCTGTACATGATTCTGGTGGCTGCACATAGCACTGAGTCCAGAGGAACTTAAATCCCAGCAACACATTTCTGATGGTTTGTCATTCAGATTTAGTCAGACAACCCAAGTACTTCAAAGCAAGCCTCCAGTCAATTGGGAATGGAGGGGGAGGGATCTATTTGAATGGATAATTTCCACTTGCTTTCCATTCACTCAGTCTCTGTGCCTGTGACACTTTATTCAGAAAAAAAAATAGGAGCAGTTTTATAATATGAACAACTTAACTGCTTGTTTACAGATAGAGGACAGGAAACTACCTGAAAAAAAATGCATATATACTTTTCTAGACAAGTAATAGAAATATAAAGGTGGCGTGAGTGTGTAAGCACTAAGGGAGGAGTGAAGTTCTTGGTGCTATTGTAGAACTAACTCCTGCTTACTTTTCATAGAGGAGATTGTGGAGTTCAATGAAATTAAGTGTAAGGCAAACAGTAGTGGGCTCAGCCTGCTAGCGACTTGAAGCATTTGTTTCCTTTGCCTCTGGTCTTGGATTCACTTCATCACCCTTTCGTACACCAAAGGGCAGTTGTGCTTCTTGACCGAGGTATCAAGTCTCTGTTGTGACCCCAGATCCGTCGCTGAGTTTCTGGGTGAACAGAGAAGCATGTCTCTTACTCCTTTTTGCCTTTGTTTCTCCCTCTACAATATAAAGTTCAGAATGCCTACCTCCAGCCCCTGTTTATGGGGGGGAAAAGGATGATTTCAGAAGCATTTTTCTCTGTTCATGGGGAAAAGCATTTTTTTCCTGTTTTGGAGAAAAATATGATTTCAGAAGCACTTTTCTTTATGAAAGGAGCACAAAAGTCAGCCTGCAAGATAAATGAAGTTGCTGGCACAGTCACTTTCAAGCAGAAATGTCAGAGCACTGGACCAGGAAGAGTCCTTGGGGACAGATACCTAACAGGTGGCAGCCCAGATTTAGTCCCTGAGCCTTCACACCCTCTGCTCTCTCAGTGTGATCCCTATTCAAAAACTGACCCTAAAAAATAATAAATAAGTAAAATGTCTAGGCGTTGGCAGACATGAGGCCACTACTTTGTGACTGTAATCTAACCAGAAGTAAGATTTAGACTATATTTTTTCTTAAAGACTTGAAATCAAAGGTTGTAGTTAGATAACAGTTTTCTCAGACTCATAGGCAAGGGTATGGCAAGAGAAGTTGGCAAACGGTGTTTAGAAGACTCTAGGAAAAGCATCCTAGAAGGTAAAATTTGCTGCATATATTTTGAAGCAAAGTAAATGAGTATGCTTTCCCAAGGATCTTAGAATCCCGAGAGATTCTAAGTACCTTTCTTCATATATAAGTACCTCTTTCATATTAATAAGTGAAAGAAAGCATTAAAGCATTATTGCCATTGGTAGCTTTAGTGACATTTGTATTGTTTAGAAAAGTAACAAAGATTCAGCCCATTAACTGCAAAGTATTGTAGCCTGTAA